GGGGGGTCGTTGCGTATCGCGGGGTCTTACCGTCGGTCACCTGGTTGGGGTCGGTCGAATGCTTGCACATGATAATCTTTTCGACCAGCTGGTTGTAGCTTAGCTTGCCCACCGCTCTCACAGCTTCTGCGCTCTATGGGGAAAATAAAGGAGGAGCCGATTACTAAACATTATATATGTACACATTAGGGATGCACCAATACCGGTATTTCGGTATCGAGTGCCGATATTTTTTTTTTCCGGTACTCGCCGATACCGAATACCAGAAGTCCCATTCAGGAAGCCAGGCGGTGTGTAAATTCTTGCCACCCGGCTTCCCGATTAGCGGGGAAGCCGTCCCCATGCTTCTCGTCACTATGTGGCTTTCTGGCCAATCAGAAAGCCGGGCGCCTTGTAATGACGCGACGCCCGACTTCCTGGAAGCCGGCTCCATACTCCCTCGTCACTAGTGAAGAGGGAGGTTCCCGGCCAATCAGGAAGCCGGACAGTGTGTAATGACGCGCTGCCCGGCTTTCTTGGAGACGGGTCATGACGTGCCGCCCGGCTTCTTGATTGGCTAGGAAGCCAGCTTCACTTGTTGCTAGGCAGCCTGGCTTCCTGACCAATCAGGAAGCTGGGCGGCACCTCATGACCCGCCATCCGGCTTCCAGGTCGGTCAGGAAGCCAGGCAGCCTCGAGAAGTGCACCGATAGAACACCGGCTACCAAGGCAATCAGCCGTCCGGCCGGCTCCTGATAATCGGGGGGCATACGGCACCGCTACTTGCTGTGGGCGAGTACTGAAAAACAAAATATCGGTACTGGTATTGGCATCGGTGCGTCCCGAGCGTGTGTGCGCGATACTCGACGGGGCAACCAGGAAGCAGCCACGCCGGATCCCAATTCACAGCCATGCAAAGCCTTCCCTAGCGGTACCTGGGGGTCCACCAGCCAGCCGTGGTACAGCGGTATGTTGAGGAGGTCGAAGACGATGCATTCCGGGGTGTACTCGAAATCCCCCACGCCGGTGAACCGCACGTTCACATCCAGACCCGTGGACAGCTTGGGCAGCACCGTCATGGCGTCGTTCACGTTCTAAGACAGGAAGAAGGCAATTTACGGGTCAAGTCTGTGCATACGGCGCGCCGCAAATCAACATTCAAAGTACCCAAGTTCAAAAATTGGCATTTCAGAGTTTGGCGGATGGTGGAGAGAGAAACCCGAAATACAGCAAGGGCAACTCCGGGAATTTACTACCCCGGCACTGCAAGGGTTAAGTCCATTTTGTCTATGGGGCTCAAATAAAGCAGGCGTGCTCCTCTGATCCCGGGTCCAGTGGTGGTCAGCGCTCCCCTCTGCTCTCTCTCCCCCCTCATCTGGTTCTCTCTCCCCCCCTCCCCTCTC